TAGAACTGAGAGGAGTGCTAAATGAGTTTGTGAGAAAAAAAGGAAGAGAAGAAAACACTTTTATATCAAAAGTGGGAATATGCACAGCTACCTGAGACAGTCCACAAAAGTAGTGAAGCCTTATTAAATGCTAAACAGTTGGCAAAATGCTGAAATCAGCTACGGATCAGCTATTATATACAAGCAGAAAAAGTCCTATACATGAGAAGTGGTCATTCACTTTCTATCAGTTACTGGATTTTCTTCCACGTATCTGACGTTGGTCCTGGGCAAACAGAATACTTGAAGAGCTAGACTCCTCATCTGATCTGCTGTTGCATTTCCTACATTCCTAAGGAAAAAATCAAGAGAAATATAGTGTACCGCACTGTTTTTAAAAGCAACCTTCAGTTTTTCAGACAGATGTACAGATGAGGTGTATTTATCCACTTACATTCTCACACGTATGCCTATCCTTCTTAAGCATTCTTCTACTTTTTATTTATTAAAGATAATGTAATGACCTGGAAGCTCCAAAAGAAAGGACTTTGTGGATACTAGTAAATGGTCTCTTGGTATTTCTGGGCATTGTTTCATTTGTACCTGTGACAATGTATCTGTTAACATTTTCCTTAATCAGAAAGTCCCTGTCTCGGTGATAAATTTGAAAAATTACCAAGTCAGGCTTAAAATACATCTCTCCCATTTAAGCTAAGTTTTTAAGAGAAACTGTTATACGTCAAAAGTAATTAAAAAAAATACCTTAATTAGTTGTGTGGCCTCTTGCGGTGCTGATATGCTAAAAGCTGGGCCTATACTCAAGACATGGGTGCATAGAGAAGTTAGATATCGGAAAGTCTTTTTTCACATCTTCCTCTTTTATTTTTGGAAGGTTTAACGTCCTGTTCTAGTTTGTGATGCTGCTTGTCTTCACCTTGTCTTTATTTGACTTTTTTTTTTGGACAGTGCTGCTGCTGGGTCTGTTTTTGTGAGCTGCTGAGTACCTTCACCTCATTTTGACATCAGTAAAAATAGAAAGATATCACTTCAATTCCTACAAAGACCGCAATGGTCAGTTTTACAAACATGTAGCACTGAGTAGAATTTTTACAGGATGCTGGAAATCTTTGAAGAAGTAATTGTAGATAATATTCTTTCAGTAGGACAGAAAATTATACATGTCTAGGAAGAGGCAGATTTTTCTACATGTGGAATACATGCAGAAATATAATGATTTCAAATCATATTTTTTAATATTCATAATGCTGTAACTACTCTTAATTCTCATCCCTGTGTCCTTCATTCCAAAAGGAAGAGGAAACTACTGCCCAGATACACTCAGAAAGAGCTCCTGGGCTGCTTTAGTGTTGTTTATTTTTCACCTTGTCAAGTAATTTTTTTAATCTGACTACAAATGCCATTCATCATCTGGAATAACACAACCATCAGTTCCATATATGCATTATATTGCTCAGAGATACTCAGCACTATCTGGGCTTCTGAAATCTTTATATAGTGCTTCATATATTTTTTTAGTCGTTGTGTAAAATATAGCAATACTGAGGGTGCTGTTCTGAAAAAGTATTGCCGAGAAAAAACATGTCAGCAGTTGTTAACTGATTGTATTTGTTCAAATTTCTGCCATGCTGTTAAGTGCAGGTAAAAGTCTCTGGAACTTCCTTGCCTTTAATTGTGCCAGCAGCTCTCTCAAAGAAACATACTTATAAATTAAATTGCATGTTCTGAATAATATGCAGAATAAACAATATACTTGCCAGCAGAGAAAGTGATGATCCAATATTTAAAGCAAACTTAATTCCATTTGCATAAACCATTTCATTGCTAGCCTTGCAATACAAGCTAGGCATTTTTTCCATTACAATTTCAGAATTTGTATGCAATCTGGAAGATCCAAGTTATCATAGTGTCATTACTGTAGCAACAGAATGACTTGAAGCACAATTATTCTATGAACCAGATCCAAATGTTTTGTAAATTTCTAAAATTTTAGAAATTATAGAAAGTAGATTTCATATGCAGTATATACATTGGTTGGAGAATACTGGTATAAAAATAGTTGCTCAGGAATTCTTCATTGTTTCTAAGTGTATTTGAAGGAAAATGCTTTAAAATGTATTTTTTAAGTTCTTAATATTGAAAATGCTGGCTTTAATAAAATGTTAGCGATTTCACTCATAAGATCAATATTGTTACTGAAGTCTGTAGCTTTCTGATGGACTTTTCAATCTTTGTCATTGTAAAATCTCTTTGCAATGGTGTTCGCATTTCAATTTAATAAAAGTTCTTGAATAAAATTCACAAATCATAGCTTTCTTCATGAAATATAACAATTCCAGTATATAACATCTAAAAAGAAAAAGGAAAAGCCAGACATCCAGCACAGTCTGTAGGACGGGCTCCCACTGTTCTGCGTGTGGAAGGCCCCGTGATAGATGTGTTTAACACACTTTGCATGCATCAAACAATTGAACCGGTTAACACTGATAGCTCATGCACCAGGTCCCAACTTTTATACTCATGCTTCTTTATGGCTCTTTGTGTTGATGCAGATTATCTTTATCACTGAAATTCAGGCATTTCAAGTCAGCAAAAGTGAAGTTTGATTGGGAAAGGTTGAGCATTTGGGAGTGCTAAGGGATGTAAGCACTGCCCTGGTTAGTAGAAAGTACAAATCCCTGACCCATTGCAGCAAGATCAGGCAGTTTTCCTGCAAAACTGGGGCTTCCCCTCAGGGTAGGTGAAATAAGTAGTCAGCCTTCTGCCTTAGGAACTGCTAGCGTCACCAAAATCATGGTGAAATGTCTTTCACTGGCTAGTGTGTCTAGTTACAGTGTATGCCAATTACCATTCTAGGGAACACCATCACAAATCTTCTTTCTTTTAGTATTACGAGGAAGTGGAAGGTAATGGTAGAAGGCAGCAGAGAGCTTTCTGCTTTTCCCATCCTTGTAGGAGGTTGTGCTAGTACTTGTTACTGAGGAAGCAAAAAAAAAGGGAAGAAATGGGTCATCAGTTATCCCTCTCCTTATAACATCTTTCAATTTCTCCTTATCACCTGGCTGTATTTAAAGACAACGCCTCCTTCTGTTCTTTTTTCCTGATGTGACTTTGTTTTGCTGGTCTGCCCCATGCCCCTTGTCGCCCAGGCCGAGCGCAGTCTGCCCTGCTCCACCTCGGGAGCGCTCCCCAGCGCTGCTGCCCGAGGGTGGCCAGCGCTCGCACAAATTACCACTGTTCTGCAAGGACAACACACACTCCCTCACAGCCACTTTTTTAATTAACGCACAGAAAACGACTCAAGATGGGCTAGGCTTGGATTACGCCGAAATTAAGCTGTCAGCCCCAGCATAATGGCAATTAGTATTCGGCGCCCTCGGCGCCAACGGCCCCCG